TATTTTGCCTGGTTTGCCTCTGCATTCCATTTTGTGCTGAATATTTTAAAGTAAATTGTATACATGATAATCCTAACAAAATATTACCCTTAAAATTTAATTTCACATAATTACATATAAATGAATTATAATTATGTATTTAAATAACTAGTATAATTGTCAGCATCCTCTAATGACTGTTTATATTCAAATTTTCCCAAATATTTCATAAATGCCTTTCGATAGCATTGTGTTCACATAACCAAGGGCTGTACAATGCATTTGGTGCTATTTATTTATTTATTTATTTATTTATTTTTCTGTGATACTAAGGATTGAACCAAGGGCCTTTTAACTGAACTACATCTCTAGCCCTTTTCTTAAATTTTTAAGACAGGGTCCCATTAAGTGGCTTACATTACCTAGGCTGGGCTCAAACTTCTAATCTTATTGCTTTAATTTCTCAGAGTTCTGGGATTACAGAAGTGTACCACCACATCATGTTCTGTTTTAAATTTTTTTACATCCATTATATTCCCCTGTCTCTACTCTCACTCCCTTTTTAACATATTAGTTGAAAGACATTCACTGGCATAGGACATCCTACTTTCAAAATGTATTTGATTGTTGCTTCTTTTTAATTAGATATCTAATTAAACACAAAAAGATATCTCAAGTTTAAATTAGATATCTAAGGACAATATAGAACAACAGTTACCATTTGTCTGGGCATGATGGCACATGACTGTAATCCCAACACTAGGGAGGCTGTTATGGTTTGTGTATATAGGTGTCTTCCGAAAGCCTCAAGCAGTCAAGGAGCAGTTTCTGGAACTTGTAATTGACTATTGCGGGTGCAGATACTGCACCTGCCCTGGGGCAGGTAATCTGTATTATAATGTAAGGTGTGAAAAGAAGCTAGCTGGTGGCTTGAGCTCCTGCTACCTCTCCCTTGCTCTCTGCTCTTTGCCACCACCATGAAAGGCTGCTCTCTGCCATGTACCATTCTGTCTCAGAGCCGGCTGAGTATGGACTGAAACCTCCATGAACTATGAGCTAAATAAACCTTTCCTTCCTTCATTTTGGGTGACAGGTATTTGTCCCAGCAAGAAGAGAAAAGTAACTGAGGTAGAATTGCTGTGAGCTTGAGGCTAGCCTTAGATACCTAGAAAATTCAAGGCCAGCTTGGACTACACAGCTAGAAATAAATAAATAAATAAATAAATAAATAAATAAATAAATACTATTAACTACCAATGGCTTCACCCATTCATTCATGTGCTATTTGTTTGAGAACAAAAAAGACATAGTACAACGAACCAAAACAGGAAGAAAAATAAACCACCATCATGGAACATGTTTTTGCAGAAAAAGAGATATTAAATACAAATAGAAAATATAGCACACAGGGGCCGGGAGATGGCTCAGTAGAATAAGCACTTGCCTGGCAAGCACAAAGGCCTGAGTTCAATCCCCGGTTCAGCCAAAAAAAAAAGAAGAAAAAAAAATACATCACATATCACATGGGCTCTGAAGCAAGATAGAGTAGGCCCAGAGTGGTCATGGGGCAGGCTGTGGGCCTCAGCGAGAAATGGTTGAATTCTATGTGTGTGTGAGGGTGGAGGCAGGCAGGACTTCCCTAAAGACCTGTGGGGGAGGGGCAACGTGGGGTGGGGGTGTGCCAAGATTTGTAGTCTGGGTGTCTGCAAATATGGAGAAACCACGACCTAGAATGAGGGTGACCCCAGGAGGGAGAGTGGAGAGAGTACACTAGCCACTGAGATCTCCTATACAGTCAAATGGAGATGCAGGGCAGGGGCTGGAGTCCACAGTAACATCCAGGCTAGAGATGCAACCCTGGGAGTCACTAGACCAATAGCATTTTGAGCCATTAAGCCGGATGACATCCTTCCGGTGAGCATCACTGGGAATGACATCCAAGGCTCAGCCCTGGCAAGTGGGCAGTGCTGGAGCAGGCAGAAGACACTGAGTGAAGTATCCTTCTCTTGCAGAGGGGCATGGTTCTTAAATGCTGCCCAGGCCATATATGTCAACATCCCATAGTGTGAGTCCACGTGGAAAGGCTAAAGATGCTGGAGTCCTGTCCACAGGCCTTGGTAGTAGCAAAAGACATACTCATTAAGGCAACTGGAACTTTACAAATGCAGAAAGACTTCCTCCTTCTTCCCCTTTCTTTTCCTCTGTCCCATAGACCCATTGGTCAATGCCACCCATACCTTTGTAGGTCTTCCCAGTTGGTTTGTCTACATGCCAATCATCTCTGGAATCACTCACAAGCACATCCAGAAGCGTGCTTTTCTAACCTGCTTGGTATTTCCATCAAATTGACAATATTAACAATCACAAGCCATAAAAGACAGGGTCAGGAGGGGTAGGGCCCAAGCCAGCAAGTAAATAGGATAAAGGCCACCACGGTCACAAGAGAAAGGCACCAGCTATGGATAGACACAGGAATGACTCTGAACTCTTATGAGACATTGCTATCCACTTTGGAAACCTGGCAACTGGGTGTCACAGCTGAGCTCCTGAGTAAGCAGATCTGGGACGCAAGGCTGGATCTGTCTTATCCTAAATGTTATGTTTATTCTGCCTATACCATAGCCTTGTTTCTTGCAGAACGACTATACAGAAGTTAAGGAAACCCTGACCACATCTCGTTCTTTGCTTTTAATGGGAACATCATATCTACGTTGCTTTGAATCACTCTGAAGATTATCAGCCCATGCGTGCTCTTCTTGGACAAGCCAGCCGTCTTTACAGCTATTCTGAATTACATTCTCTCGTTGCGCCTGATCCACATAGGCGGGGAACATGGAGCATTTTCTGGGATGAACTCTTCTCCACAAACTGCTGGAGCAGTTTTGGGTTGTGATCCCTGCAATTAGCTTCTAGTCTTGCTGAGCCGGCACCGCGCGCCGGCCGCCACCAGAGGGCGCCCAACATGAGGAACCCACGCCTTCCACACTTTGTGACTCCTATGGGCAGCCAGGGGATAGGACAGAAGATGCACCACCTTGCTAACGCAATGACTAAGGTGGGATCTTGGTAGGAGGGGGAAATATATTTTTAATAAAAATGATGGAACTGTACATGCTTTGCAGATTTTTGCTTCTCCTAAACCAAAATTAAAAAAAAAAAAAAATCTGAGGCAAAGCCCAGTCTGGCAATTTAGAGACTTCAGAGTCTGTCCCCAAAAAAATAAAAAGGGTGAGGTGGGGGTGCTGAGGACGTAGCTCAGTGCCAAGGCCACTTCAATCTCCACTAAGTGCAATGTGGCCCTAACATAAAGCAACTGGCAGAAAAAGCACTGCTTCTTTACTTGATGAGTGTTTCCTCTTTGGCTGCAAGGTATCTCTCCAATGCGTTTCAGCAGGGAATGAAATAAAAATGTTAAATCGCAACTATTTCATTTATTATTTGTGGTGCTGGGACTGGAACCCTGGGCATCACGCATGCTAAGCACACACTTTACTAGAGTTATATCCTCCAGCCTACGATAAACTACTTCAACAACTACTGTAGTTAAGAGTATCTATAATAGGCAATAACACCGTGGCTTTGCTACTGACATCTGCCAAGTGGGCTTGGAAGTTTCCTAGAACCTGACTTATAATATGCCTCTGAGGAAGATGGCCTAATTTGCCATTGTTCTTTGCTTTGGGAAGGCAGCTAAGGTAAAGAAGTAAACTGTACTTGTGACTTCGTCTCAAATCCACAGTCTGGTTTGGTCTGGTGTGGCAGTCCAGAGGGTCTCACTAGTAAAGACCCTAATGGGCTATCCTGCGCCAGAAACCTTGGCAGTGCTGGGGACACAATAGAGGGAAAAATATAAACCAGCAAGCAAGGTTTAGCATATGCTCTGTCACCCCAACCTCAGCCTTGGCCCCTGCAGCCATGATGTGGAGAACTAGGAAAGGCTGGAGTGCAACTTAGGAACAAAGGTGTCCACATGGCTAAGCACACTGAGCTGGCAGACAAGGACACGCAACTTTGGCATCCTAAAGGCCACGTCATCTCAGTCCAGAGGCTACTGAAGAAACAATTTGCCTGGAGACATTTCTACTTGTTCTTAGCAGCCTTATTTCTATGATCATTCCCCAACTGCCTCTAGTAACCATGCTTACACCCTGCTGGGCAGCCAACCCTGGAGGTCCAGAGTCCAACACCCTGAAGGACTCACAGAAGAGAGACTGACAGAGATACCTGCAGATGGAGTGCTACACGCCTTGTGTCAATGAGAAAACCAGGCTGGAGCATAAACCAAATTCCAGCTTGCAGGCAAATCTGAGTGTCAAAGTGGGTCCAACTCAGTGAGGTTGGGGGGTTGTGTTGAACAAACCTGTAGCCAGAAATTAATGCATATACATGAGGTGTGGTCAAAAAGGGCAGTGGATTTGTATTTTTTATTTGATACAGGGTCTCCCTATGTAGTTCAGACTCAGTGATCCTCCTGTCTCAGCCTCCCCAGTGCTGGGATTACAGGTCTGCACTACCACACCTCGTTTCAGGGCTAGCTCACCATGCCCAGGGTTCCAGGCACAGCACAGCATGTGATGCCACGGATCAAACCTGGATCCTTACACTTGCCAGGGAGGTGTTTAACTGCTGAGCTGTGTCTCTACCCCGGATTTTGAAGTTTTATAACTTTTTTTAGAAAGATTTTTTTTTTTTTGCGGGGGAGGGTCAGGGAGGCTAGCTCAGGCTGCCTTAAGGGTGCATCTGGTGCAGCTTGTGTAGCTAGGAATCATACCGTGGTCCCCTGCGCCTGATTGAGTTTGACTAAGCAGGCGCTTTAAACAACTGAGATAACCCGCAAGCTGTTTTACAACTTTATTATAATAAAGACACATGACCTGGTATACGCCCCTTGCTTCAAACATATTTCACTGTTCAT